CGATGGTTTGGTGGTCGGTCCATGCCGAATTCGTTTGTCTTCCATTATAAACCTATCAGTATTATATGACATTGCACTGCAAATGCACTCCAACAGAAAATTCTTCAAATAAAAAAACAGTTTCTTCTGGCATAAACATTTCAGGAAAGTTTTGTGAAAGGATAAATTTCGTTAGACATTCGTATGATTCGGTATATATTATGGGCAAGGTTGTTAAGAAACATGCCAACAATACTATGAAACAACTTTCTGCAATGGTTGTAAAGATGCCCAAGGATTGTAAAAGTGTTAATATAGGCATATAGGGAAGATTGAGCATAAAGGAACAGTTTTGACATCACTTGGACCAAATCGGATTGCAAAAATGCCAGAATATGTGGCGAACCAGGGTAAAGATAATTACATAGTTTTTTCTAATGTATTGAATATGCGCCACCTAGGTCTACGTTTTGGAAGTTTTTATCATTGTTTTTAACATTTATTGTAAACTGACATTTTTATTCCCAGTGTGTAGGAAACATTCCTACACATACCTCAGGTGGCGCAAAAGTAATTCTCCTATCAAAAAATGCTATACATTTTACGATTGGCCTCTAATGTCAGTTTTGTTTTGACATTTTTGTAGAAAACACATGCAAAATGAAAGTTAATAAACAATGTTACTCTACACTGCTGTAGAAAACGGAATATTTTTGAACAATAATCTTTGGCAACTCGCCTTGAAGAGACTGGCCCAACAAAAGATGCTGCCAGGCGTGGCAGACCTCGGAGTATCCGTTCTGCAGAGAATATTGGTGCTGTAGCCGAAGATGTCATGGAAGCGCCGTCGAAATTAACCGCATATGGGTATCAGTCGACGGTCTTTACAGCGAATTTTGGTACAAAGTTTGATGTTTCCGCACAAAGTTTAGTTGGTGCATCAGCTGTTAGCTTTTGACCGCCAATCGTGTCTCACATCCTTAATCACCACCAAGAAGAAGATGATTTTTTCATCAATAATAATCATGAGTGATAAGGACCATTTCCATCTTAGCAGGTACGTACAAAAGAAAAATTTACGCTTCTGGAGTATTGGAAATCCGGGTGTAGCCCACGAAGAGCCATTACACCCTCTCCAAGTCAATGTATGGTGTGCTGTTTTTGCTGGAGGAGTCATCGGAAATTTTTTCTTCGAAGATATTGAGGGCCAAACGGTTACTGTGAATGGTGAGCGCTCTAAAGCAATGATCAACGACTTTTTTTTTTGCCACAACTTGACGAGTTGGGATTGAAAAACATGTGGTCCCAATATGACGGTGCAACGGCACACACTGCATGCATTTTGCCTTATTTGACCGCTCCAGACTTCTTTTTGTGGGGTTTTCTAAAGTCGAGGTTTTATGTCAGCAAACCTCAGACTGTTTCAGTTCTTAAAGACAATATCCATCAAGATTTTGAGGACCTATCGCTGAAAGTTTTGGCCAAAGTGATGGAAAATGCCATAAAAAGGGCTCAAATGACAATAAACTGTAGCGGCGACAATTTACATTGCATTGCAAAAGAAGAAAAAAACTAAAAGAGATTTTTTTTTATTTGTGTCACATTTTTCTCCTGAACTGTTTCGAAGTTGCTATTTGGAGTTCGCAATGAATAGAATCTCCTATGACAGGATTTTTTCTGTACAGATCCACGACTTTGTATAATCCCCATATCACCGTACCGTCCAATATTCGATATTTTAGGAATTTTTGCTACATTTTTCTACAGAATTATCTCAAACTTGATATTTGGTGTTCGTAAAAGGCGCCGTATTCTCTGCTAAATATAGCCCCCATATAACTGCACATCCAGGTATTTTGATAAGTTGTGTCACTTTATTCACCTGAGGTGATTCAAAGTTGGTATTTGGAGTTCGACATTTTTAAATAGCACCAATATAGTTTAAACTCCCGATATTAATGATTTTAGCTATATTTTATAAAGGAATAGTTTAAAAACTCACGCTGGGAGTTCGAAATTTATTGAAATTTGATATAGATTTGGAAATAGTTGTCAGCATTTATAGATATGTTATGAGGAGTATTGCTTTTAAACGGACGGTTGGCGAGCCGAACTCAACTGCTTCTTTGATTTAACTATAATTTGTATTCATGAAAGGGTATTTTTCAAAACGAATCCCAGACAATGGAATGTATGAAAAATACCTGAGGCCTATTTGCAAAGGTTTCCATTAAATTGAAGGAACATTTTCCAAGTGGTTGAATTGTATCTGGGCATTTTGGGATCACAGTAGAAACTATCAATGTAGTCCCATCGCACCTATGAAATATATATTTGTTAATTCTCGAGTGAATTTTTTATGATGCAGGGTATACATATTGTGCCTAAGAATTCTTTTCACGTGTAATCTAAGTCTGTCGGTGAGATCTATATATGGGCTCTATAATTCGAACTTTTCAATAGACCTCAAAAATAGCCTATATTCAAGTTGGTTAGTTATCACACAGCAATGAATTGTACACAAATTCATTTTATTCATTTCATAATTACACACACACACACACACACACTACCCACCTACTTAGCATTCAATGTCAGGCGGGAAGAAAACAATGGGCGGACTTAAATAAAAGAAATTGCTGGCTTTTCTTTTTTTAAACAAATAATAAAAACGGAATTTAATAGTTTGACAAGTATATAATAACAACATAAAATGGAGCATAACAAAAGACCGGGTAAACGGCTTTCCACGTCCGAAGGTGTGAAGAATGCAAAGAAAGCAGCAACGAATCGTTCATTTTCCATTTACACATTGTTCCATTTTACGTGTTGGAACATTCCTTAATGACATATATCATGCTAAGCAAAAAATTGTATAAAGACCCAGAAACTCTGGACAGCTAAAATACCACACAGTTAGCCACATTAAACTCAAACTTGCACCAATTTCGTCCCTCATCGTTTTTTTTTTTTCGTCTTCTCTTTGTCATTGTTTTTAGTTGAAATTTTACGAGTCTCTTGAGACATTTTCCTTTTAATTCACATTCTCGCTCTCATTGTCCTTAGCATTTGTGCTGATTGCTGGCAAAAATGAGTGGCCTAATGACGATGAACGAGATCAAGTCTTTTAGTTCAAATTAGAATTGACATCATGGCAGTGATGCTACCGCCAAAAGGAACCAGAATTGAAGACGGTGCAAAGGTTCTCGACCCCCAATAATGGTGCATTTGTGGCATATGTGATGCGATAGCCATGTGTATGTGTGGTCTGTGTAAGTTTCCTTAAGGAAACCCAGTTTCTGATAACCATTTGGAACTGCTGTGCCCTAGTTAATATCTACGCACGGCCAGCGAGTAATTACAGAAGATGAGAGTTGTAAAATAACCAAATGAAAACAACAAAGAACACACATGTGTATTTTTTTAACAGTTGTCGTGGAACTATAAACGATTTTATTGCGATAGGACAATAAGAAAAGTACATAAAATAAGTCGTCCATCATGGCGAATATCCGTTTCAGAAAAAACAGTCTGATTTTGTCATTCAAATTAAAAAATCTCGGATGTATGCATACTCGGATAAATGTTGACGCTTTACGGAGGAGGTGCCAGAAGAAGTGAGACGATATCGTTCTTAATATCCTCAACCATATGGCTACAGAGGGTATATATCATTTGATACGGCCAAGTACCTCCCGATATTCGGTAGTTTGATGATTTTTGCCACAGTTGTCTAAAAAAAATGTCTAAAAATTGGTATAATGGTTCTAGCTCGTATGGCAAAACATTGTATGTATAAGTCCTTGTTATAGCCCCCATATAACGGTACCTCCCGATATTCGGTGTTTTGATGCTTTTTGCACATTTGGATTTGTCCAGAAAGTTGTAGCTCAAGTGGCGAAACATTGTATGTGTAGATCCACTTTTTGGTAAAGCTCCCATGTAACGGTACCTGCCGATATTCGACATTTTGATAAAAATTGATATTTTTAGCTCATAATGGGTTCTAGCCCGGTGGCAGAGCATTGAATATTTAGTTCCACGTTTTCAAATACATATAACGATATCCACCGATATTCGGCATTTTGATAATCCTAGTCACATTTGTTGTTTTAAAAGATTTGAATGATGACAATCCTTGAAGTATAAAATTGTCTATAGAGGTTCCCTTTTTGGTATGGCCCCATATAACGGCCTCACTCACTTTATGTTTTTTGATAAGTTTAACTGCATTATGCAAAAGGTCTTACTGGTATATGAAGTCTAAATTGAAACACGCTTCAATTCAGATACTTTTATATAAAAATGTTTCCTTTACCCAAAGGTAGAGGGTATTAAAAGTTCGGCCCTGCCGAACTTAATGTTTTTTTACTTGTTGTGTAATAATATTTTAAATTCAGCGAGTCAAATTTAAATTGGGTTTTGGTCGAAACTGATTTTTTAGGTGTCACATTCTTTGAGAAACAAACATTAAAACGTCAACTTTAACACTACGTGTCGGGATAAATTCAGCTGTTTAAAATCATCTGAAATAACTTGTCTTTCAATGGCTTAATGCTGTTTCTGAAATTCTGTTAATTTAAATTTATTTTTTTTTGTCATGCTTCTCCCACTATCTGGTTTTTAAAAGTTGTATTTTTTAGACTCCTACCAGAGAGTAGTGGTTAGGCGAATATATTTGCAGCTTTAATGATTCATGGTCAAACGTTCAATCCTAATTTAATTAGTTTAAATTTTTTTATTTAATTTTTAAAAAACATTTCCAAGAAAAATGTTGAATACAGGTCCAGGCATTTTTGTTACTTTTTAAGTTTGGGATTCGCAATTCTATATAACTTATATAGTTATTATTTTTTTACAGCTGCATAACTTAAATGTTTACACTTAATTGTAACTTAAGAGTACTGAAGGGCCCGAAAAATTAGTACACCCAAAAACTTAACATATAAATGATCCTATGCAAGAGCAAATCATATTTTGCGATTTCAAATGATATAACATTTTTCTACACTCTTTTTCAGTTTGATAATCCTGATAGGATTCCTAAAACTCCAATGCCATGGCATACCGACAGCAACGTTGATATTAATGGAACACAATTGGAATAAGAACAAGACAATTGAAACGTACACTAGCACCGATAATACAGATTCTGAGTGAGTTTTTCAAATAAATTCAGTTTATATATTTTTCAAAATTTGATTTGATCTGTTACATATCCCTTAACAGAACATACAATGAGAAAAATGACTATGCGGATAATATTATTCCCAATAGGGATATTGAGAATGCCAACACATATCGAAGAAGGCGATTTCCTGGAGATTACACCACCACCCAACGAGTGACGGTATTCAAATCTAGTCATAATCTCTCTGATCCGAATAGTATGCGGAAACGCACTGCCTCAACGGATATGTTGAGTCGAAATATTTCCATACTCTTGGAAAATCTGCTCAAAAGTTATGAACAATCACAATTGCCGACACATGGGCAAGGTATGGACGAAAGACAACTATGACAGAAATTCCATAAATTCATCTTCGAAAATTATGTATCATTTCTTTCCCTAAGGAATACCAACGGTCGTTCAAACCAATATTTTAATTCGTAGTATGGGTCCTGTGTCCGAACTCGATATGGACTACTCAATGGATTGTTATTTCCGTCAATATTGGAAGGATAAGCGTTTGAGTTTTCAGGGGCCCATCAAAAGTCTGTCGTTGAGCATAAAGGTAGTAAGCATTCTGTGGTATTCATAATTTATATTGAAAACAAATGTTTTTTAGATGCTAGAAAGAATTTGGAGACCAGATACATATTTCTACAATGGCAAGCACTCTCACATTCACACCATTACCGTGCCCAATAAGCTATTACGTTTGGACCAGGATGGAGGCATTCTGTACTCAATGAGGTATATTTAAAGAGAAAAATTCAGTGTTTTATTTAAATCTCTAAATGAGAGAATAACGTCTTTACAGACTAACAATCAAGGCTACATGCCCCATGGAGCTGAAAAACTTTCCAATGGATCGACAATCTTGTCCTTTAATTTTCGGCAGTTGTATGTACCATAAATACATATGTCTCATTGCGGAGAGAGCATTACTCTTCTTCTTTTCCCATTTCATTCTTATTTCAGATGGCTACACTAGCCGCCAATTGGTCTATGAATGGAGAGGTGGTGATGATGCTGTCTCTTTTGTACCGGGCATGACTCTCAATCAGTTCGATTTGATAAGCATGCGAAGTCGTAATCTCACCTATGCTAGGAGAGAAGGTGACTTTTCCACACTTCATGTTGCCTTTAATTTAAAGCGGCATACAGGATATTTCTTGATACAGGTAAGGCAAACAACAGGGGAATATGAATCAAATATCCTTTACCGACCACTTTTAAAAAAACCGATTAATAAATTATAGCTGAAGATGAGAAACTAAACAAGTAAAAAACAGTTCGGCTAGGTCGAACTTTTTATACCCTCCTCCATTTGGAAAGAGACTTTAAAAATTCCGGTGAATAATGCCGCAAGAATCAGGAAAATATATAATATCGGGAGGTACCGTTATATGCGCGCTATACTAAAACGTGGATCTATTTAGACAATTCTCTTCTAAGTGGTAAAGTACTCAGAAAGATCTCCTTGTGTGGATTTTAAGACAATACCATTGAAAAACTTGGCTCAAGTAATCAAAATACAGAATATCGGGGGATACCGTTGTATTAGGGATATACGATATCGTGAACCTATATAAACAGATCTCTTCCAGGAGGTAAAGTTCTCACAAAGAACTCTTTATGCGAATTTTCAGACAATTCCGTTGAAAAATGTGGCTTAAATCATCAAAATACCGAATGTCGGGGTGTACCGTTGTATGGGGGATATACGATATATTGGACAAAGGACTCACAAGGAACTCCTTGTGTGAATTTTCATACAATTCCATTAAAAATGTGGTTAAAATCATCAAAATACCGAATATCGGGGGGTACCGTTGTATGGGATTTTGGACCTATATAGACAATTCTCTGTTAAGGGGTAACGTACTCTCAAGGACCTCCTTTTGTAAATTTTGCTCTTTCAATACGAATTGACAGGCACATACCATTCGGTACCACTTTCAGTCATATGTCTTTTCGTTAAAATCACGAATTAACCCAATCGTTGCCACGGTACCGTATAAGGTACCAGTATCAGCCATATGTATTTTAATTGAAGGAAACACAAGACCAGATTTGTAGAAATTTTTGGATAGAAAGCAAATGTCTTCGTAACCAAAGGGTGGAAGATCTCCCCAATTCTGTATAACTTTTATTAGTCACTCCACTATTTTCTAAAAAATCATTTTGTACACGATCCCTTACCAATGGAACAATATTTCTAAGTATTATTCGTTCGTTTTTAGTTACTTTTTAATATGTATTTATGATGTATGGTCCTCATTTTAATCATTAAAATTTATAATACATAACCTCTTTATCGTCCGCTAATACGTAGGTCTATGTTCCCTGTATACTGATTGTCGTCTTATCCTGGGTATCATTTTGGATACATCGTGAAGCAACAAGTGATCGTGTTGGGTTGTGTGTCACCGCTGTCTTAACACTTTCCACAATTAGCCTGGACTCACGCACCGATTTACCCAAAGTAAAATACGCCACTGCCCTGGATTGGTTTCTGTTGATGAGTTTCTTGTATTGCATTGCCACGTTGCTGGAGTTTGCTGGCGTCCACTATTTCACCAAGGTCGGGAGTGGTGAAATACCCACAATAAGCGAAGACGAATGGGAAGATATTGAAGATGAAGAAATTGATGACGACATTGACAACGAAATCGAGCTGCCATCGATGAGGGAGAGCAACGAGTCATTGGCAACTGATATTTGTCAAAATCAACCGGGTGGTTTTCGCAAACGCAACGCCATGATATGTCCCATCTACAACGATCCGACGCACATCTTCCAATGTCCCTCTTCGCATACCTCAACAATGGAGAGGACAACGCAAACAGAACCTCCGGTTATTTCCAAGGCTAAGCAAATGTGGCTCTGTTTCATTGGAGATGTTAAATTTCGCAAACAAAGAGAAAGGGAGGCGGCTGTACAAAAGGGTAAAGTTATAGCTTTCAATTTTGCGATTTTGTAAATATTCAAATGTTTTTTCAACCCCTCCTTCAGGAATGCGTTATGTAAACAGTGTCTCTCTAATTGATCGCATATCCCGAATTGCCTTTCCCATGTCATTTGCGTTGTTCAATCTGCTGTACTGGGTTGCATACGGTATGTTCAAGAAGGATTTTGCATGGCCCAAGGGTTAAGAAATATCCCCCGTCTGCTCATTCGCTGTTACACTCATTTAATCCTTTGTTTGATTGATTGTCAACCGAGAACATTGTTATCAAATAATAAATAAGTAAATAAATACATTGTTGAAAAATATGAAATCAATTTTTGTTCTTTTTATTTACTCTCGGGTAGGTTAGCGTACTCATCGATGCTGCAAATGTTTATCTTAATCACGACATGATAATATTTGCAGCTAGAAACCACCTCAAGCAAACACAAGAAGGAGCTCTGTGCTTCTCCTTTCAGTTAAAGGTGTCTGCGAAATGCAATGGAACACCACCTCTGTGACTGTCGTAGATATTCAAAATTGACTTCATTAGCTTTGCAAATATTAGAAATAAATCAAAACATCAAGACGTTTGTTTAATCGAAAGGGGTTAGCTAATCAACAAGAGTATTAAGGCGTACATCAAATCAAGGCATTTTTAATTAAGTGAGGGGAATTCGATTACCCGGACTAAACATATATTTTTGTCCTTAGGACAAAAAAAAATCTTGTTGGATATATGGGAGGACTTTTTGCGAATTTTGTACATAGGAACTTACAAATTAAGAATATTTATATTATTTATACACAAATATATTTTCAATTAAATTATTATATAATAATATGGATACACTGTATTTGGTACATTTTTGTGCATTGTTCTTTGTAGCACTAATATTCATTTTTTATATAGGGTGATTTTTTAGTCACAATTATAACTCACCCATGAATCGTCTTTCAAACGATCAACGCTTGCAAATATGTTCTATCAATTGACAATAAGTAACGTTTCCGGTTATAGGAATTCCAGCAATGGGACAGTTCAGAAGATCATAATATAGAAACAAGTAAAAAAGCTTTTTAATTTCGGCCGGACCGATCTTTGAATACCCTCCACAATTTTGGCAATTTTCAAAAAAATAAAATCCGTTACAAATTTTGTTAAAATCTTATAAATATCGAATGTAGCCGTTATATAAGGGTCTATATGACCTGTGGACCTGCATAGGCAACTTTTGTCATAAACCATTACAATACTCAAATGCGAAACTTGAATTAAAAAAATTCTGTGAATAATGTAGCTAAAAATCATCAAAATACCGAATATCGGGAGGTACCGTTATATGGGGCTATACGAAGACGTGGACCTGCACAGACAATTTTCTGTATTAGGCTGTAGTATCCATTTCGAACTTCCAATACCAAATTTGAAACAATTCCGGTGAATAATGTCGCTAAAATCATTAAAATACCGAATATCAAGAGGTACTTATATATGGGGGCTATATGAAAAAGTGGACCTACATGGCCCATTTACAAACTTAACCTGCCTACTGGAAAAATAAACATGTGTCCAAAATTTTAGCCTTCTATCTCAATTCGTTCGAAAGATAGCGTGATTACAACAGACAGACGAGCATGGCTAAATCGACTTAGAATTTTACGCTGATCAAGAATATATATATATACTTGACATGAGTATTTCGAGGAGTTACAGACGGAATAACAAAGTTAATATACCCTCCATAGTAGGGTGGAAGGTATAAAAACATTTTCAGGATTACTTTATGCCAATTTATTACAAATTTTACAACAACGCATAATTTGAGAAGTATGACTTCAATCACCATAATGTTAAAAAATATTCGAGATCTAATTTGATTGTGAGTCGCTGAATTAAAATATCAATTTTTGACAAATTTTGTACTTCCAACAAATTTGCTGCAAATTTTCTTAAAATTTCACAGTCCAATTGCCAGTCTGAGTAGATTATTTTAATAGTAGATTAAATTCCCTCAAAAGAGTTTCGGGTTCACAGAAATATTTGTTTGAAAAGTGGGTCACGTAGTCCATATTTTGGTATAGTTCCATACCACGTTTTTCTCTTTGATATTTTGAATATTGGGCTATAATTTTCAAACGAAACACGTATAATCTGTTATTTGGTATTATAAATATATACCATGTAACGACATTTAAGTGACGAATTTTATAGATTTGTAGTTCTCAAAGGTATGCTATGCATTTTCCTGCGAAATGAGAAGCCCAGAAATATTTGCTAATGTTAGTCAACAAGCAAAATAATTGAATTGAGTTCAAAATAATTACAGATCTTCAAAAAGACGAAATGAATATTATGAATAGAACTAAAACACTTTACAAAATATACACTCATGATAATAATGGCATTAAATAAACTAAAAATGAATCTAGTTTTTGAAACAGTTCAACACTTAACTGACGAAATAATTGAAAAAAGCTTTCAAACTGTTAATATCAACCAACGCCAACAGATGGCGTACAGTTTGCGCATAATGTGACAGTCTCATCTCAACAACTCTCTTAAATCTCTCTTAAATGCCATTCACTACTCTCGTCCGGAGAAGAAATGTCAAATCCTTTGGCACTGAAAACACACAGCATCCGAAAAGAATCACACAACACAAATCAAAGCTCTCTGTTGGTTCGAAACGGTTGATAGTAAAGCACGTCGTGTCTCGTGGAACGCAAAACAGTACGGACAATGAAAGGAAAAGTGAAAGCAGTGGCCGTCTGTCTCACTTGAAAACGATGAAAATGTAGTGAAAATGTATCCGCTGCACACTCAACCCACAAATAAAGCCAATCAAGTTGAAGTGAAAGTGATTAAATTCGAATGATACTAACCGAACAGGAGACCAGCGAACCAACGGGAATACGGGCGAATACTTAACGCGTTACTTATACGAATAAATAATTACATTGCCACCAACACTGGAAATACAAATAATAGCAATACCAACAACAAACCCCCATTAGATTGTAGTCCATAACCGACCCAAGGGATTTTACATAATCTTTTTTTCACTCGCATCGAACATCGACGAAGGCAACAGATTTGAGAGCTCAACGGTGCGGTAAGTAATAATACAGGGTCAGGATGGATAAAGAAACAGGAAGCGAACCCACAAAGGACATCGATTTCCATAAAATCTCACAAAAGGAATTAGCGTCAAAGGAAATTAAAGTTCTACGAGGTTATCTTCTATAGCACTGCATGGATTGCATGGCATTTGTTTCAAGTGTTTGTCTTTTTTCCTCTGCCTTCTTGGCCAAAGAAGAAGAAATCGAAAAAGCCAAGTGCGAATACATTGCCAGAATCAAAGAGCAACAAAGAAATGGAAGTGCCAATGGAACCTAATTTGTGTGTTTCTTCTCACACAGTCGCCCCCCCCACACACACACACTGTCAGCATCACTCTAACCATGTCAGGTGGTCGGTCGGTCAAGCAATAGCAAATTGTTGCAACAACAGTCGTCGCCGCTGCCGTCACCGTTATGGCTACAGAATCAAAGCAAGCGCTGTCACAAACCGCAATGATGCACTTTTAAATCGTTATCCTTCGAGTGCAGGCCAAAGAGCAAAACGGTATAACGGGTACACTGAGCTTAGTTGTCGTTTGTTTCTTCTTCTTCGTTGTGTTTGTGTTGTAATTATTGTTGCTGTTGTTGTAGTTTATAATTGTCTGTCTGTCTGGTGGTGTTATTCCTTTGACAATCTGTTTATCCGTCGGATGCCATGCATTTTCATGTTCTCTTCGAGGCATTCGTTGTCGATGGCATGCATTCGTCACAAACAAAATCTCAAAAATGGGTCAAACTTGCTGCGAAACGGTGTCGTCGGCCCCTGTCGCCCTCCCTTCCATTTCGTCCTTTTTGTTTCTTTGTTTTCGTAGTTCATTCATTCATCTATTGCCAGCCAGCCTAAAACTTGTCATTTACGAGAGCCTCAGATTTTGGGGGCTGCATTCTGATGTTTGTTTTGTGAACTGGAGGGGCGGGTGGTTTGCGATGAGTGTGGGTTAATGTAGTGTTAGAATGTTGACAGAGACTGTGACGGCGTTAACGATGACGGAGAAGATTCCAATAATGTTCGCACGTAATGTTGCTGCTGCTGCGGCTTCTGCTGATGATGCTGATACAGCAGAATTTGCTTGTCTGTTTACTGTGCAGTTGTTGTTCACTTTTGCCTCCATTTTCACTTTTGTGAAAATTTATAAATGGCAATACAAACAATATCACCATTTCCAGCATCGCTAAGCAGAAGCCAACACACACATACACCCACATGAACGTTGTGCAGTTCTATTATTATGATTATTCTCCAATGAAAGGACAAGGTTCGAAATTAACGATTACTACTATCCTCACGCACACAAACACCCACACACAGACACACACACCCGTCCGCACAGGGACAATATCTCTTCTAATGATAATTTTATTAGTTTCATTTTCATTTATAGATGCGTTTTGCTTGTGTTGTTGTCGTTGCTGTTATTGCCGTTGGGTCGTCGTTATCGACCAGCACCAACAGCAGCAGCTGGCATAGCCGCAAGTAATCTCCTTCGTTGTGGAAAACCACGACCTTAACAACATTCAAGGATTATTTGGCAAAAATAGAAATGGAAATTTGTTTTTTAATTTGCATTGGTATTCCGTTCGTGTAACGTTAGTCTCTGATACTCCCGAGTAAAAAGAAAAAAAATAAATAAATTGAAACTTAATCCATTATGAACTGTTACAATTGGGGTTGGGGAGTCGAGTTATTTTCGGCCAGACTCCGACTCCGATTTTTCCAATCGATTTAAAAGTCCATTGACTAAGTGATCCGGATGGAGCCTTGGTCTTGTAAACCTAAAAATACGAAACATTTGAAGGCTACCCTTTCATTCATAAATCCTGGACATACATTCAAGATATTTTGATGTCAAAATTGCAAATTGAAAACGTGGACCGATCTTGATTAATGGTCTTGGCCTATGTTGATTAGCGGTAAAACCTTCGAAATGCTGAAAATCTAAAAAAAATCTTCTATATTCTACAATTTTTGTACTCTAATATTTTCCCAAATTGAACAATCTTGAAGATTTATCACTGGTTACGATAGGTATTTTACCCTTGAGAGTGCACTTTTGATCGGAAGGTAAGATTTTGAAGCGAGCTGTATTTGGTCATGAACGGTCTATAATAGAATCATCCAGTTTTTCCAATGAATTTTATCTTACTTTTTTAGATAATTATATATAGGTCCACATTGTTAAATAGCCCCATTTAACGGTGCGACCCGGTATTCCAAAATTATTATAGAATTGCCTGAATGTAACATAAGCCATATACATTTTTGAAATTCCACTTGGAACTTCATCAGATTCGGAGGTACCTCCAAAAATTTTGGATTTTGTATGCACATATCTATTGCTCGGTCATACAGTTTTCATTTTGGAAACTGTAACGGAATTTGGTACAAAAATAATTTGAAAAATTGCATTGAAATCGGTTCAGATTTGGATATATATATTTTCGACCGATTTGACATATTTGATGTCAGACTCCAATGAAATTTGGAATATATGACGGAATTCGGTTCAAAAATAACATTGCCAAATTATACGGAAATCTGTTCGGGTTCGAATATGTCTTCCATACTTCTTATTTTCCCAATTTCAATAAAATTTGAAATTCTTAACAGAATTTAGTCGAAAACAAAATTTGCCAATATATTGATATGAGTTCAGATCTGGATATTATTTTATTTAGAAACATGGACCCACAACGACTTTACAATGGTCGCTGGTTAGGCTAACTATAAAAAATCTTGACAACAATTTAATTGAGGTTACGATTATTATGGAAAAATATGTTGGTCCAGTTGCATTGCTACTTCGAATTCCTCGAAACGCAACAGAAATGCGGTTTAACTTAAAAAGAATACAGTTTCCTGTACGCTTGGCATTTACTATATAAAAATTAATAAATCACAAGGACAAACACTTCGTACATGCTCATGGTCAGCTGAACCTGGCATGTTCACGCGTTGGTAGACAGAGCGATTTGTTTGTTTAAGCTCCTGAACGAAAAGAACACTATATATATATTCGAGTATAAAATTTTCAATGCATAAAAAATCAAAAGGGGTAGTGAAGCGCACCGGGTTCAGCTAGTTATCTGTAGAGGTGCATTATTGCTCATGCCCCATATGGCGGTGCAACTAATATTCGGCATTTTAATGATTCCTGTCCATTTTTTTTGCAATGGAATGGTTTGGAATTCGATTGGAATTCAAAATAATCCTGTCACAGAGAATTGTCTATATAGGACCATGTCTACGCATATCCGCTATGTAACGGCAAATTCGATATTCGGCATATTAATGATTGAATTTTAGTATTCTTGGGTGAGATACGGGGTAACGGTAAAAAAACAAATAAAAAATCTCGCTAAATTCGGGCAGCAGCCGAACTTTTAATACATTCCCACATTCTGAAGGAACTTTAAAAGTTACCAAGAAATTTCGTAGAAAAATACCGCTCAAAGGGAAACCGTTTAATGGGGGCTATACGAAGCCGTGGTTCTGCATAAGTATTTTTTTGTCATCGGCTGTAGTTCCCATTACGAACTTTAAATACGATATTTGAAACAATTCGATAAAAACTAGAATTTCCAAATTTAGAATGAGGGAGAACTTCTACTTCAAGACCGAAAAGAGTAGAAAAAATGGACAAGGTTGTATAATGCTGTTTTTATCGGCTGATTAAAATTAGAAATTTAGAATTTACCATCCGATCACTTTTTATACCCTCCACCATAGTATGGAGGGTATATTAAGTTTTTCATTCCGTTTGTAACACCTCAAAATATATATTTTAGACCACACAAAGTATATATATTCTTGATCAGCATAAAATTCTATGTCTTTTTTGCGATGTCCTTCCGTCTGCCCGTCAGTGGAAATCATTCTAGCTTCCGAACGAAATGAAGTATGTTGATAAAATTTTACTCAAATGTGAATTATGTCTGCAGGACTTTTGGTATTGAAGTTCGTAATAGATACTACAGCCTCAGACAGAAAATTTTCTGTGCAGGTCCACGTCTTCGTATAGCCCCCATATAACAGTACCTCCGATATTCCATATTTTGATGATTTGTTTCAAATCTGGTGTTTGAAGTTCGTAACGGATACTACAGCCTCAGACAGAAAATTTTCTGTGCAGGTCCACGTCTTCGTATAGCCCCCATATAACAGTACCTCCGATATTCCATATTTTGATGATTTGTTTCAAATCTGGTGTTTGAAGTTCGTAACGGATACTATAGCCTCAGACAGAAAATTTTCTGAGCAGGTTCACGTCTTCGTATAGCACCCATATAACGGTACCCGATATTCGGTACTTTGTTGATTTTAGCGATATTATTCACCGGAATTCTTTCAAATTTGGTATTTGAAGTTGGTAATGGATACTACAGCCTAAGACAGAAAATTTTCTGTGCAGGTCCACGTCTTCGTATAGCCCCCATATAACGGTACCTCCCGATTTTCGGTATTTTTATGATTTTAGCGACATTATTTACCGGAATTCTTACAAATTTGGTATTTGAAGTTCGTAATGGATACTACAGCCTAAGACAGAAAATTGTTTGTGCAGGTCCACGTCTTCGTATAGCCCCCATATAACGGTATCTTCCGATATTCGGTATTTTCATGATTTTAGCTACATTATTCACCATTTTTTTTTTTTAATTTCCGCATTTGAACATTGGAATGGCTTATGACAAAAGTTACCTATGTAGGTCCATGTGGTCGTATAGACCCTAATGTAACAGCTCCATTTGGTATTTTTTTTAAGATTTTAACAGCATTTTTAACGGGTTTTATTGTATTTGAGAATTGCCAAATTCGTTCCAAATGGGGGAGGGTATTCAAAGTTCGGCCCGGCCGATTTAAATATTATTAAATCATAGAAATATTTCCAATTTTGTGTGTTGAGTGAATTGAATTGAGCTCTCTCACAGCATCATCTCATCACTAAGATAACAGATGAGACAACTTTTTGGTCCATTCCTTTATTTTCCTATGTAATTAGTTTGTATATTTATGAATATAGGTTAATGGTTTGTATTTGTTGGCAAACCTTCTGTTATATCTGTTAATTTGTTCCTTCTGTTTTTTGCTACCTCTTCTTCGGTGATGTTTTAGAACCAAATGAAAGGAAGCTGCACTTCTTAAATAATTAAAGCATAACTTTTGGTATTTTCAAGAACCTCTTTGGATTTCCTTACAAACAATATCTCAAATTACTCTCAAGAGAAGATTTCTCTCTTTTTCTCTCCGGATGTAGCATTACATTTGGTTAAGTAAACCGACACTTGAGCATTTACAGCCTGATATCATTATACGACATCTAAGTAACGCACACGACCACACCGAGTATTGGTGTTAATTGTAAACTCACACAAACCATCCCTCTCACACTAACACAGGGCTGTCCCACATGCCTCTGTCCGAAAGAGGTATAACGCAATTATACCCTCAGCTGAAGGTTTTCTAGTTTTCTATCTTCTGTTTTAATGTTACAATTGCAAATGTTACTTTCCTTTGGATTTTATCATTGTTCACTTTCCATCTAGTTTCTATGTAGATACGAGGGTAGCTTCAGCAGTACTCACTTGTCAGGGAAATATTAAATACTATGTGGAGATGCAAACAGATTTGTGAAAAGTATCCCTTCGATAGGATTTTTAAAACGATTGCAGCTAATATCGACATTCTTTGTTTGGTCAAGTGACACATCAATTTCACTATCCACCCTCGTATGTACACAGCCAAATGTTGTGACGTTGCCTAAAAAAGTTGAATAAACCTTTCTTTTTCGCTAAACAATAAAAAAGAAAACTAAATAAAATAGAACCCATATGCGTAACGGATGTTACACTAACGTTGTCTTTGGCGCCCTCCCCCCCTCAGACACTTGCCATTGATGGCCATTACTGTGGACTGACTATTCATGCTCAGGCGAGGATGATGACGGTGACGACGCTGTTAATGATGGCGGATAATGCATTTCCTTGCGTTGTTCTGTTGTTTTTGTTTTGCAGATTTGAAGGCCCCTCCCCAAGTGCTTAGAACAGCTATGGAATGAACATTAAGGAGCATCGCACAGTATCCATACTCAAGTGTCCTTTCCACGAACAAACAAAATGCTAAAAACTGTTGGCACAACAATAGCCTGCAGTTTAGTCATTATGCTGGTGCTTCACACAACCCCCGTCAGATGCAAACGAAGAGAAATGATTGCCGGTCGACTGGAAAATGTCACCCAGACCATTACAAAAATATTGAAAGGATACGATATTCGACTAAGACCGAATTTCGGAGGTAAGTTTTCTTGAGGAGATGAAGAATCAGTGGATTGAAATCTGTGATCTGTTTTATCCTTACAACAGGAGAGCCTTTGCATGTGGGAATGGACCTGACAATAGCAAGTTTCGATGCCATTTCCGAAGTAAATATGGTAAGTTTGGAAACAAATATCCAAAAAGTTGTTTTTTAAAAGATATTAAATATTAAAATGCATTATTAAATATAAGAATTTATCAGACTTGAAATGAATTTAAATGCTGTTCGGAATAAACACCATTGTACCGAAGCTTTATTCGAAACAGATGCTAACTAAATATTGTATTTACTTTAGTTAATGTTTATTAATGAGCGTTCGAGAGCAAATTGGGTGTTAGGTGTGTAAACAGAATTAAGAACAAGCCGATTGTGAAACTAAAGTTAATGAATGATAATAATTACTACAGTTGACAAATATTAGGTTGGTTTTGCGGAAATATTTTAATAGCTGGCTCGAAACTTCGTAACACATACGTCCAAGTTCGTTCGTCACAAAGGGATCATCCAGTTCAGTTTTTTTTTTTTTTTTGTAAGACTTCGATCCAAAAGATCTAATGTTCATAATGTTCCAAATTCTAATGTCTCCTCCACTAACTTATTTCTTGATATTCGTCAAAATTTGCTCATCCTGATATTTCTACACTTGAAAATATTCAAGATATAAGACCTCCTTCGAGAGGTCTTGTATTATGTATAATACGAGAGGAGTTCCCGATGATGTAATATTTCTAAGCAAAGTGAGATGAAAAAACTGCAACCAAATTAAAATTATTGCAGTAATAGCTCATTATATTGTTTACAAGCGTACAAACGCATTTTTGTGAGAATTTTCCAGAAAAAAGTTATTCATGATGGAATTTAAGCGTGATAGTATAATTTCTTTATATTTAGCTGGATAACCACAAGTGGCTATAATTAGAGCACTCCAGTATTTAAATGTGAATAAATCTTTTGTGTCTCGTACAATCGCTCGTTACCGTGGTACTGGTAGCGTAGCCTGACGTCAAGTAAGTGAACGGAAGAAAACAGTAACCTCAGCAGAAATGGTTCGAAAAGTAAAGAAGTGACTTGATCGAAACCCGCGTTGCAGTGGCCAAAAAATGGCTCGTGGGCTGAACATATCGTAATATTCCATCGGCATTCATTGGGCAAATATTGAAAAATGAGCCATTGAAATTACAAAAAGTGCAAGAAGTTACACCGCAACAGAAAGAAAATAGACTCAAAAGAGCTAAAGAATTTCTTCGCTTCGCCGAAAGTGGTGATTTTCCGAATTTAGTTTTCTTCGATGAGAAAACATTTGTTGTCCAGCAGTTGCCAAACACCAAAACTCTTGCCAAAGAGGTCAGCTGAAAATGTGCACCTTCGGTTGGCCACCAGAACTCAAGCGCCGGCCATGGTCATGGTGCCACTGGTCGCTCTCCGCTCGTACTAATCAGCCGTGGCATCAGAATAAATGTCGAATATTATCGCGAAAATATTCTGGAGGGTGTATCAAAACCTTAAACACACGAACATTTTGGCCGCAGACCTTGGACATTCCCAAGAATGGTTACAAAATGAGGTTCCTCGCTTCATTTCCAGCGCACAATGGTCACCAAAATCTCCTGATACCAATCCGTTGGACTATTATATCTGGAGAATTATGGCACTAAAAATTTTGGAAAGCAAGGTTGGCACTAAAAACAAACCAAAGTGTCAAGCAAGCGTCTCGCCGGGAATGGGAAAAATACCTCAGAGCAACATTCGGGCAGCGTGTGATGGTTTCATTGGCCGCTTGAAGGCCATAATTCGTGCCAGAGGTGACCAATTCGAACAAATCTAATTTTTCAAAGTTTGATGCTATTCCCGACATTTTTAGCTTTCATTCAATAAAATTAAAAATTATGGCTTTTGACTTTGTTGCAGTTTTTTTATCTCACACTGAATTACGCTTATGCCAGATGCAAAGAATGGGTAATATAGATCCAGTATTTCTGGTACCTTCTCGACATAAGGTCAACATTTTTTATTACGTACAATACAATATTTCTCTATCGAGGTGGTTCGGGCCGAAAATAGAAATATTTTTTTGTAACTCAACCACTAATCAAAAATAAATGAAACATATTTATCCTCAATACGCGCAAAATCCGAAGTCGATTTTTAAATGTCTTTTATATGGGTGTCGTAATTTGATAGTTTGTGTTTTTTTAATCATGGGAATGATAAGTTCAGAAGTGGTCGCGGCTCAAATAAGATTTATTTTTTTGAGAAAATCAAACCTTCTTACAAAAAAGTTTAACTTTATATGCAATAGCTCCCCATTTCGGGGTACCGCCAGATATTCGGCATTATAAAGGTCTAAACCAGTTTTCATTTCTAGAGGGTAGAAAGCCCCGAGCAGGAAAAAAACTAAAAGCGTAGATGCACTTTTAAAAGTAGATTTTATAATAGTGACACCAGTTATTTCAACTTCTAAATTGAGCTATATCATAAAAAGTTCTATTATGGAGAGCAAACGGGAAAGATACAATGATTAGAGAACCACTCTAATATTTAAATACACAAAACCAGCATCGAATTCGACGACGTTACGAAGGAAGTTATTTACGAATTTAATGGCATCCTTGAAGAACAACATTTGTCACATACAGACACTCCAACACACACACACATACACGCACACGCCTACAAACGAAATGCAAACAAATGTATTTTCACTTCATTTCATTCCCCATCATTGAAACGTGCTTAGATTGGATGAGAATGGGATGTAGAGGGTTGGTGTGTGCGTGTGTGCGTATGTGTGTCCATGTCTAGGTGGGCTGGTATTTGTCACTAAAGGAATTAACATTTTCGATGAGCTGTGAGCGAGTGGTAAGTAACCCTCTTGCATTTGTTTTCAGGACTACACAATTACCATGTATCTGAATCAGTATTGGCGCGACGAGCGGTTAGCGTTCAATGCATACGGTCCCTACTACGATGACGATGCGGATGATGATGGCGTCAATGATGTGCTCACACTGTCGGGAGATTTTGCAGAGAAAATTTGGGTGCCGGATACATTTTTTGCGAACGATAAAAATAGGTGAGGAAACACAAGCGTTTGTGTGTGTGTGGGTGTGCAGACAGACACCAATGTTAAATACCTTTTATTTTATTGTTATTGCTAGCTTTTTACACGACGTTACCGAACGCAATAAACTGGTGCGTTTGGGTGGGGACGGATCCGTCACCTATGGCATGCGATTCACAACAACACTAGCCTGCATGATGGATTTGCACTACTATCCCCTGGATTCACAAAACTGCACCGTGGAAATTGAAAGCTGTAAGTCGGTCGCTAGCACTCCAAGTGCACCCTCTTTTAATTTAAGCCCTCCAATTTGCAGATGGTTACACTGTCAGCGATGTCGTCATGTATTGGAAACCCACACCAGTGCGCGGTGTCGAGGATGCACAACTGCCACAATTTACAATAATCGGCTACGAGACAAACGATCGCAAGGAACGCCTCGCCACTGGGGTGTACCAACGTTTGTCGCTCTCCTTCAAGCTGCAGCGCAACATCGGCTACTTCATCTTCCAAACATACCTGCCAAGCATTTTGATCGTTATGCTCTCCTGGGTTTCATTTTGGATAAATCACGAGGCAACTAGTGCTCGTGTGGCATTGGGTGAGTGGGGGTTTCCCGTCTGTTCGTTCGACAGCCTATTTGGAGGTTTTAATCAATGTTCTCTGCAGGCATAACCACTGTCCTCACTATGACTACCATAAGTACGGGAGTACGGAGTTCCTTACCCAGGATATCATATGTCAAAGCCATAGATATTTATCTGGTCATGTGTTTTGTGTTCGTCTTTGCTGCCCTATTGGAGTATGCGGCCGTCAATTATACCTACTGGGGCAAGAGAGCCAAAAAGAAAGTGAAACGTGGCAAAGATGGCGACAGTAAGAAATCAGGTGAGTTACAAATTTCCTCGATTTTTGTCAAGATGGTTACCAAAATTTTAAATTGGAATTTAGAAAGGCAGGCTATATTTAAATTTATGAGCTTTGTCAAGGTAAAGTGACATACATTTAATAGGGAGAGATCCTATCAAAATGCAGCCCAAGGACTCCAAATGGTACCCAATGTAATGCCATTTAGTACACATAAGTGCCAATTTACAAAACTACGTACAACACTTAGTCCTACAATGCAATCTCATTTTAAACAAGTTAGCAAAGGCTATAGTCGTGCGGGGACGACCATGTAATACCCTACAACACTACAGTATGTGAGAAGCCCCCTCATGTCCAAATCTATTTTGGAAGATTTCGCTTCTGAAATTATGTCACGTAGCACTGCCCGATATTACCCTTAGCATTTTGACCACAGACATTTTTCCGATATTTATGCACTCCGTCGTGCTGTTAGTTTTTGTGGTCCATTTTACGGCTAAATGTAATCCAATGGTCATCCAAAATGCTACAATTCTTCACTCTGCTTAACTATCTTCTCAGGCGTGTCGATTGGCTTCAAATGTGTGATCAGGATTTTTTTCTGTTTTTGGTTTATTTGAACCCCTAAATATTTTGCGATCATCTCCAAAAGCAATTTGGCTATATTCGTCAACGAAATCAGCATAAAAAAGCTAGAAGTTCGACTATTGTGCATTTCGGATATCACATGTAAGTAATGTTGGTATCTTTTCAGACAAAAGTAGTGGTCCATTCTACCCGCTGTCTTAAATTCTAACTTCATGCGAGATTTCGTGTCCTTTGGTTTCTATTTGTGACCTTTATAACGGCTGCAAAATCAGGAACATTTTGAGATGCTGGTCCATTTCAACCCCTAAATATATTGCGGACATCTTTGAAGCCCTTCTGAGCCTAATCCTACCTTCAAAATTTCGTGAGGATCGAACGATAATTGCAATCTGTATGTAAATAATAACCCCAACCTGTTTTGTAAAGTGCAAAAATATTACAAAATATACACTGCAATATTATAAGTCGAATTGAAAAAATCGCATGCGATAAAAAATATGAAAAAATAAAAATATGTCACAAATTACTACAAAATCTATATTAACATCATTATTGGTATCTTTTTAAGCGATTTTTTTAGATTTTATACTTTTATGCCAAAAGGGCATTCTAATTTTACAAAATTTGTCAAAATCGCTCTAGCCATTCTGGAGATATAAGCATTCTAGCTAACATCCCCTTCCTTTGTATATATACATTGTATATATTTCGCTATAAATATCCGATATTTTTACTATCGGCATCTACGTAACGGTCAGAATTGACCTGTTCGTCTATTTGTGATTTCGCCGGCATTAAAAATATTCGCGGTTTAATGGAAAATTTGATTTTTTTATCACAAATTCTACGGTCTATTTCAACCACTAAATGTTACCCGATGACCATCAAAATTGAAGGCTTCTGCCCAGCCCAAAGCTCTAGCCCCATGCTAACTTTCGCTTCGATTGGTCTATAATTGTGACCTGTAGAGCAACTACAAAATCAGGAAATTTTTCAGTATCTGGTCCATTTCAACCCCTAAATATTATGCGATCATCACCAAAAGAAATAGGGTTCTATTCTGACATTAACCCCACCTACATTTTAAATTTCGTGAGGATCGGGAAATAATTGCGACCTGTAGAGTGATTACTAAATTAATATGGACAGACGGACGGACGGACATACATAGCTAGATCGACTCAGCTCGGCGAGATAGGAAGATCCATATATACTTTCCTATGTGGGAAACCAATATTTCGTGGTGTTACATAATTTTTGGCCCAATCAAACTTATAATACCCCAACACATAGTGTTGTAGGGTACAAATATTAGGATTTCAACTCTATTGGTTCAGCCAAATTGTACCAAATTAAGTACCATGTGGTAATTTTCATGCACATAAGTAAACATTTTCAAAATTACCTCCATATTCCAGTGCTACACTCCGCCACTAATTTTAAATTGAAATTTCAGAATTCCAGCTCCATGCGTTCCGTCAAATTGAAATTGTGCAAAATTGAGTACAGTTTAGTACTTCTCATATACCTAAGTACACTTCCAAAACTATCCCCCTACATCGACTCTACTCCTTAGCCTTGGCTTTAATTCCAAAATTTAAGTTTTTAGCTCTAACCGTTCCCATGATATGAAATTGTACCAAATGTATTACATTTTAGTACTTTTCGTACACTTATAATCCGAATTTTCCAAAACCCTTTGGTACATCTATGATACACTCCATCAATGACCCTCTTTCAAAGTTAAAGAGTTCATGCTTTACTGCTTCCTCAAATACAAAGGGTTCCATATTTAGTACCTCTTAATAATTTTCGTACCGTTGTAGTACGAATTTCCAAAAACCAAGAATGACCCTCACCAAGATTTCAAGATTGATGAATTCACTCTTTTATTAATACAGATTAACAAAAAACCTAATCATTTCGTTTCAGGGAAACAAGATAAATCCGAAACCTGTTCAACTGCCGAGGATATCATCGAGCTGCAAGACGTGCGCATGAGTCCCATACCATCGCTGCGCAAGGGCAACTACAACAGCACACTAAATTCTCTGGGTGCAGAAACATTGGATTTGGCCAAATTTCCACCGAGTTTTCGAATTGCACGCAACTATGGAACCACAAGTCGTTCTAATCTTAGATACCGGGGTCAGCGAGGTAAGGCAACGTTCATGCGAACCACATAGATTAATTCAAAATTGTATCTCTTTTTTTTGCAGGCAATAAACCTCGTGTAATACATGCCCTGAAAAAGGGGGCATCTGCCATCAAAGCCACCATACCCAAAATCAAGGATGTCAACATCATCGATAAATACTCACGCATGGTTTTCCCCGTCAGCTTCATGGCCTTTAATCTTGGCTACTGGCTGTTTTACATTTTGGAATGATAGTATATCCAAACACTTCACACTTCCAAGTAGAGGCCATGAAACCCCTTCTTCTGTAGTGTGTAGTGTTGTCGCCGCTGCCGCAAAACCAAACCGCAAAAAAGGGAACACATGGGCGTTAACACGCTCACAATCTCTTGTAAATTTAGAATAGTTTCAACTGGAGAGAACTCCCACCACCACCACCAAAGCAAAAATCCTTTTACCCACCCAAGTACACGGACACACCATCCCGAATATCTCCAAAAATTTTACAAAATTTGAAACAAAATGGAGCAAATGAAAAGAAGGAAATCATTATTTTTTTTTAATTTTAACAAATACAAGTTTTTATGAAAGTCAAGAGAACAGCAGGTAACAAGACACATAGCTCTCCGCATTGGATACATCTGATTGTAATGTCTATCACCACTTGATATCCTTCCAAGCGATTTTAGATTTTTATTAGCTTAAGCCAACATTTGTATGTGACAAACTAAGAGTACAACTAACCCAACCCGGAGGAACAGGCTGGCCACAGTCAAGCACGACACAAACCAATTTCCAAACCAAACAACCTACGAATTAAGCAAATCAATTAATAATCCTCACCTTACTGGCCGAACAGAGTCCTAATTAATCATTTAAGTGTAGATATTGCCGAAACAATACGAAAGTATGGCATGGCGTAACGATAAGTGTGTACTATTGTGATTGAAAATTGTTTTTAATTTTTAAGAACCAAAAACCAAAGTAACCGAACAACAGAACCATCATTCGAATATCAATTGTTAGTCAAGTAGAATAATCAAAACCAATATTACTTAAATCCATAGCAATAAGATTTCTCCTTTCCAAAAAGAAAAACAATTCAAAATGGTGGTAATAAAACCAAAAAAAAAAAACAGAGACCATGTCAGAAATGCCAATTATAATTCCAATGAGTTTTATTGGGTGCTCAATAAACCGTATATGTGTTATATAAAATAGTAAAAGATCGGATACTTGCACAGTTGTATCTGTCGAAGTAAATTTGTCAAGTAAACTTTAAAATAGTTGGTCGCCGAAACTAATAAAATTTAGGGTCAGCATTATGCTTTGAGACAATTCTCCAGCCTTGGCCAACAATTGTTTAATACATCCAGGCAAATAACTAATAATCCAATCCTGGACATTTAAAGAATATATCCATTAAGACTGCAAAATCAAATCAATCATGTCACGACGACCGTCATTGAAAAGTATTCGTAGGACGGGTTTTATTCATATTGCAAATTTTCCGCCGGGAGGGCTGAAAATTTTGTTAATCTAAATTGACAAAATATGATTTGTTTTGGATATTTAAAATCAGAATGTACCATCCTATGGGGGTACCTATTAAGTTTTATTTTTGGGAAAAGTAATTTATCAAATGAAATCTCGAAATTTCAACAACTCATTAGAAATTGTGGCTGGAATATTTAAGATAAAGAAAAAAGTCCTTTAATATTACTTATACCTATCACTATGTACAATATCAGTCCACTCCTTTTGATACCTCATCCACAAAAGTTTTTCACAGAAAATAATTACATCATAGGGCAAGAAAGAATCATCCAATTTTTTGCCAACTTTGCCAACCCTAACATTTATATCAGTGCTAGATCGACGCACTAAAATTTTGAAAAAATGACAACTTTTTGTTGTTGCTAAACAGTCAGGCTTAACCGCATTATTTTTGTTTTTTTTTTTATAAAAACAACGTTTATTTATTAGTGTTTTGTCTGGGATATTCTATACGACAAAAATTTGAATCTAATTTAATTATTTGGTTGAGCTTACAATCTCGTCACTTGGGTAAAAAAGTTTTTTGTCGTAGGAGTTTTTTTTTTATTACTCCTTGGGAGAATATCCCAGGCAAAAAACAAAGAGAACTGATTAAGATTAGTGGCTCTTTCCGAAACCTGGATATTCCCTAACAAAGAAACGTATTTTTTTGTAAAAACAACAATAATGAGATTTAGCCTAACTATTTTGCAACAACACAATACTACGGGATCCCGAACAAACAGCCCAACACAGTTCCGAAAAATTATAACTCTTATAAAATGTTTCATACATATAAATATATTTATTAAAGCAAGATCTGGTGTGATGATTATATATATCGGCCCACCCCTTCTGCTACCTCCCCCACGAAGGGTCACAATTCCTAATACTAATTGCATAACTTGCAAAAAAGTGAGCGTTTTTTTTCAAACTTGGTATATCTACATATTTCTCTCATTATTGATATTTATTTTCGAAGATACCTCGAAATTTTGAAAGAGTTCAGTCATCAACAAAATTGTATCTAAGTTAAGAGACCATGACAGATGACGATATTTAAGTTAGAAGATATTGTCCAAGAGAAATCTAACAATAAAAGCATTGTATCTGTGCAAAGGATCTAAGCAGCGACGAGATCACCCCTTTCTGGGAAATTCTTTGTTTTATAGATTTTATAAGTATGCTCTACACGATTACACGATCAAATGTTATATATATATACTACTTTTTATAGCACTTGATGGATCAACGTATCCATATGTGACTTTGAGCCGTTATTATATCTTTAATTATTAGTCGGATTTTAGTGGCAATTTGAGGATTTCAAAACATAAAGTCAAAGGATGTTAGGAATCTGTTGAAAAAAAAAATTATGTATATCAAAAAGTAACTTGTAATGATGGCCTCATTTCCTATTTAGGAAACTATTTTTACTGGTGCAATATTTTTTTCTTTTTCCTAATGGAAGAAATTCGAATATCCAAATAATTCATAAAAACTGAGGCATTTTAATCTGAAACACAATGGTAAATCAAAGGTTTGGTCCGTACTGCAATATTGGTCGCAAAAACCAAAACATGATGAAAGTCTAAAAAATAGCAAAAAAAAGTATAACTTATAAACCTAACTTCTATAAAAACCAGAAAGTCTTAAAGACGGGCGGGGCCGACTTTATGATACCCTACAGCACTTTGCATATTTAGTAGAGCTTCACATAAGAATTAAAAGTTTTTATTGAATAATTAAACCACACAAGCTATGGTTATACTTATAATATAAAGTTCAAAGGACTAAATATGCCGAAGCATTTGTATCTTCTCAATACGGGCTTGTATTGCCAATTTGGTGCACAATTAACTTGAAATCGGATAAAGACATATATGGGAGCTATATCTAAATCTGAACCAATCTCGATAAAATTTGGCAAAGATATTTCTGAGCAGTATTTGATATATGTCCCTGAATATCGTTGCTACGGAGTGCATATAACGGCTGTGGGGAACAAATATAACATATCGGATGGACAATATATATGGAAGATATATATGGGAGCTATATCTATATCTAAACCTATCTTCACGAAATTTGACGTACTAGCTTCTAGACTGAATTCGGTCGTAAGTGCCAAATTCCATCCCATTTCTTCTAATATTACACGTTTGGTGCACAATAAAAAGCAAATCGGACGAAGTTATATATGGGAGCTATACCCAAATCTGAACCGATCTCGATAAAATTTACCAAAGTTATTTCTGAGCTGTATTTGATATATTTCCCCAAATATTGTTGTTACAGAGTGCATATTACGGCTGCAGAGGACAAAATATATAGATATATCTGAACCGATTTTGATCAAAATTGACATACCTTTTTTCAGGACTAATTTGATTGTGTATGCAAAATTCCATACTATTTGGGCTTATTACACGTTTGGTGCACAAAAAGGCAATTCGGACGAATTTATAAATGGGAGCTATACCTAAATTTTGACGATTATCCCCAATTTCAATAGGGTTCTTCCTTGTGCCAAACAAATGACTTGTGCAAAATTTCATCTGCATCGGGCAATAAATACGACAAAAATACATGGACAAAAGGACAGATGGACGGACAGACCGACATGCATAAATCGACTCAGAATGTGATTCTATGCAGATCATCAAAAGGAACTATGGATTTATCTCGTTTCATTTTGCCTGTTGCAAGCAAATGCATAAAGACATAATACTCCTGACCACCTTGTGGTGTTGGGTATAAAAAAAAGAAAACAAATGGATAGTTGCTTTCTTGTAGAAACATTAATCTTGCTTTATTGAAGTTTAAAGCAATAATTTTCATCAGATTATTTTTTTAAAAGTCTAAAATCTAAACTGCCTTCAATGAAGACATGCATTAAAATCACTACCAATTACTTAATAAAAATGATTACTTCTAGCAGGCAAGTTTGACAGTTTGTGATTGTCATTCATACTTGTATAGTATGTACAAGTGTGTGTTGTGTGTGTGTGCATGAATGTCATTTGCCATGACTTTTGGTGTTCGTGGAGCAACATGTTATTTGTGTCTGTATTTACCAAAGAAAAAATCAAAACAAACATTGTAAAAGTTTCACGCAATGCGCACTCCTTTGCTCTCTATAGCCCTATAAGAGATTTTTCCAATAATTCGAGAGAGAATTGGTAATATTCTGAGTATGAAATACTGAGACTTGGCCAATATAAAATACACTGTCCATTTTTAAGCTGTGGAGCCAGGCCATATTCGTTTCAAACTGTTATACTACAACCAATGTTACAAGCGTACATACCTCCACCAACATCACTCGCAGCATCAAGTGTGTGGGTGTCTTTACAACACTAGGCACTACAGACAAACAGATGGAAACACACACACACGCGAACCTGTATTTTCAATGAGACCTTTGCTTTTCGTTATTTATTTGTGTGCAGCCTACAGGTTCCGCAAAGCTTTTACCCTCCTCACATTTGATTTATTCTTTATTAGCTGGCGAGAATTACGATTTAAATGCTTTCTTTTGTTTGGGAGATGTCGCATTATTGTCACAACACTTATACTATTAAACAATAAAGCCAATTCTGAGAATAGTTTGAAGAAAAAAAGCATACACCAAAAAATATCGCCAATTTTCTTAGAATTGATTAAGTCTAAAAATAGTTTTTATACCCTACACTACAGTGGTGTAGATGGTATTATTGGTTTGTACGTTTCTTTGTAACTTGTAGGAGATGGTGGCTATGTATGCATGAGCAGGAACTTATCCAAATTAACCAATGTTAAGATCGAGCTGATTAGAAAAATTGTGTTGATTTGGTTGGGAAGTTCAAAATGTAGATTATTATTATTCTGTATACCCTACACCACAAGGTGGTGCATTCGTTTGGAACAGGCAAAAGGAAACGAGATAGACCTATAGTTCCTTTTGATGATCTGCATAGAATCACATTCTGAGTTTTATGCATTTCCGTCCGTCCGTCTGTCCATGTATTTTTTTAAACAAAGTACAGGTCGCATTTATTGCCCGATCCAGATAAAATTTCGCACAAATAATTTGTTTGACCCACGGACGAACCCTATTGAAATTGGATATAATCGGTCAAAATTCCCATTTATATCTTCGTCCGATTTCGCTTTTATTGCGCACCAAACGTGTTATATCAGCCAAAATAGTCTAAAATTTTGCACATAAGACCAAATTAGGCCTGCAAATGAGTATGCCAAATTCGAAATCGGTTCAGATATAGCTATAGCTCCTATATATATATATATATATATATTGTTCATCCTATTTGTTATTTATGTCCTCCGCTGCCGTAATATGTCTTCTGTAGCAGCGATATTTGGGGAAATATATAAAATACAACTCAGAAATACCTTTGCTAAATGTTATCAAGATCGGTTCAGATTTGGATATAGCTCCCAAATATATCTTCGTGCGATTAGCTTTTTGGTGCACCAAACGTGTAATATTAGCCCTAATGGGATGGACCAAATTGAGCCTAGAAATAAGTATGTCAAATTTGGTGAAAATCTGTTCAGATATAGCTATAGCTCTCATATATATTGTTCATCCGATTAGTTGAATTTGTCCTGCACATCCGTAATATCCACTCCGTAGTAACGATATTACAGTATACCAAGTACACACTTTTTGTATTACCAGTAAGCTAAAGAACAACGAGTTGTTTCTACGAACAGTAATTAATGTTCGAATCAAATTTTTTCTAGAAAGAAATCGGAACTGTTTCAAATATATTTATACAAAAAAAATTCTTCATCCAATTTGACTCAGTACATTCCTTCCGAAAAATAATTCGATATTTTGATGATTTTTGCCAAATTTTCCCACGAATATGTCTAAAAGTTGGTATATGTGGGTCATAATGGGTTCTAATGTTTACTTTACCCTAAGAAGGAGAGCATTAAAGAACTTAATATTTTTTTTTAATTGTATTTTTTTACTGTACAAATTTTGTAGGGAGAGGGCCAAATCCAAAGACTCCAGCTACAACCTCCGCTGTTCTTTGTATAAAAGATCCCTTCTCTGAACAATTGATACCCAAAATATAAATTTAAAACCCTTACTTAGCTCAATATGATTTTTTTAACATCAATCTTTACCCTACTAATGTTATGTACCTAGCAACACTTAGGGATTATACCACGGCCGAAAATTGTATTTACTTATTTTCGAGTTCACTATTTATTCACTATTAGAATTTCAAATTTTATTTCCTAAACTCTTGAAGTATTCAATATTCTAATTTCATCTTTCAGACGATTAAAGTTAAAGTTAAATCTCCATCGCAAAGATATCTGAAAGTCGCCTTCACTTGACACCAGTTAGTTTCGCTTGTCTTTTATTCAATTACTGGACATATAATTAGAACAGAGATGCCATATGACATGTTTATCATGTTATTCTCACATCTCGGCTATCTATTATTCCATGCCATCAGTTCTAATGCACGAACACCATTCATGGAATGCTTCTTACCTCTCCCTGTGTGTGTGTGTGTGTTTGTGCAATTTTGCCTTACAGCTTCAACGGTGGGAACTCTGTGATGCTATGTGAACGAAATTCCCATCACAAGAGCACACATCTTCTATACAGCCGGACAAACACACTTGAAGAGCATAGACGAAAAGCTTTCTCCTAAAGCTTCGAACGAAAGCATTTCGACGGTGTATACAAGTTACAGCATCTGTATCTGGAAAATTTTCACAAAAGATTCAATTGTTATCCGAGAGTTACTAACGAAAGTCATCTAACGAAAAGAAATGTAAATGCGAAAAAATCACTGAAATTCTGCAAAAATCCCAAATCAAAAAAGAAAAAAATAATAAATTTATTGGCAATTTCTAAAATAAAAAGTGAAAAAAGTGATTTCGAATAAATTTGTCAAAGAAATCAAAGAAAATTCAGCTTGCAACAGCTGCTCCTCCGATTTTGTGTGTGTGAAAAATTGCCAACTTGCCAAATGAAAGAAAAAAGTGTACATAAAAAATATTGCAAATGAGCTGGAAATGCCTTCAAGAAGTGTGAAATGTGAAGTGTTGTGAGAAAAAATCCGAAAGATTGAATATATTTTTATCTGTTTTATTCTTAAAATATGAAAAATGGTATAGGTAAAACAAAAAGAATTGAATAAGAAAATCGTACACGTATCGAAAAGAAGAAGCTAAAGTTAGAAAGAAAAAAAACTAAATTATTGAGAAGCACACGCCCTTAGTGTGCAAGGCATACATGTACATACAGGAGTAGCAGAAACAAAAGCAACATCACCAACAACAGCAACAATAACAACAGCAGCAGCAGTAGAAAATCTGCCAGCCACCAACATCCTCAGCATCGAAGCCAGTGGCAGCAGCAACCTTTCCTTTTGGTGCACACTCTCATTGCCACATCCATACACACACACAGGGATACACGAGCACACACACACACTACCCCCAGGATGAAAAGATTTGGTGTGGCTGTGTGCGTGATGTTTGACTGAAGCCTGGGAATTGTGGGCTTATAAAGCTCAATGTGATTTTAAAAATACATCAACATCAGAAAAAAAACAAGTCGCCAACAACAAACCGAGCCACCAAATCAACCAAAAAACGGATTAAGAATTAAGGCCTTCCACCAAGACAATGTGTAAATGTGTTAACAATAATTATTTCGAGTTTATAAAATGACGCAACGCGGTTACAAAAGAAGGCGTAAAGGGTAAATGCCGATTGCAGCAAATACTCCAACGCCTCTGAACGAAATCGGCAAAGAAAAACTACCCTTTTCCAAAACTTATCACAAATTCAGTGTCACGAAAAAGAAACAAACAAACAACTCGTTCAAAACCCATTACAAAAATCTACGCATTTTTGTCGAGCATTGTATAACTGGAAAGATAAACAGAAAACCGAAACCAAAATCAAAAAAGAAAATATTCTGCAACAACAGCTCTCCTTAAGACAAGGACTACAAAGGCGACGAAGACGGCGAGCTGTTAGACTTTAAAACACCCACACATCTGTGTACGCAGTCGTTGGAGTTGCCCAAAATACGCGTATACACATCACATCACGGCACCAAGCCAAGCCAAGCTAAATCGAAACGAAACAAAGCCAAAGCAAGGGATACGGTCTAGCAAAGCAAAGGCATAAAGTCGAAAAAGTAGCAACTCACACTTCCCCCTCCAAGTCCCTCCCTGCCGCACTCAAGCTACCGTTGCCAACACACCCACCAGTCCTGCAAATAGTCCCACAGAATCTCTCAGGCAGCTAGACAGTCGTCCATCAGGCATTTCGTGTGTTTGTGTGAGTGTATGTAATAAATGTTCCTCTTGATTGTTCAACATCGACAACAGCAACAACAACAACAACAACCTAACTACTAAACCAGCCAACAACAACAGCAACGAATCCATTGTTGTGGCTTAAAACACCTGCAATTCATCTTCAACATTAAAGGGATAATGTTCAAATCGTTTGTTTTAGCGATTTTTGTGCGTTTGGGTAAGTTTTCTACGCCGTCCTCAGACGTCTCGAATAGCTCTACATTAACTTTGAACACTCCATTCCAATGCATACACATTTCATTCAAACTGACCTTCTCACCGCCCCGTCCCGTCCTGTCCCGCATCGACGACAATCACGACCCACGACCACAGACACCAGCAAACCCCTAGAACAACACAACTCAACGCACACATACACACTCACACACAGACACATACGTAGACAATTGAAAATCATCAATGAACAAATACAACATATCGCAAATGAAACGAACTGAAACGAAGTACTACGAAATCAAACGAATCGAAATCCTCTGTATGTGAACAAAGGACATGCAATCCTTGATGGTTATGTAGTCGGTGGTGGTGGGTCTTGTAAATTTTCGTCGTTATTCATTCTCTAAAATTCGAGTTCGTGATTCCAATACGAACCAGCCACTCTTGTTGCCACATTTCTCCGATCTCTTGAAAAAGGCAACAAAGGCGAAGAGATGAAGATGGCAGATGGCAAACACCATTAAATCTATCATTTTTAGAAGCCATCATTCAGACACAAACACATGTTTACATTCTCCACGACCAACTGACGAAATGCTTTTAGCCCGAATTGTTAGGCACGAAGCAAGAAATGGCAACAAACAGTGTTTTTGTTCTCCCAACTGTTTGTCTAAAATAGACACCGACACACACACGCACGTACACAAGCCAAACACACATGGTCAGTGTATCACACGCACACTCCCACAGAGACACACACACATATTGTACGAAATAATGAGCTTTGAGCTACGTCCTTGGCATACGAAACTCGACAAAGATAGAATAACAACAGCAACAACAAAAGTGTTGGGATGTTGCTGTTGTTGTAGCGAATAGGGATGCCACAGAAAAAATGCTATTTGAGAAATGTACAAAGCAGAAGACGAACAGAGAGAAAATACGTATAAGATATTTTTACTGCTTGTGATAAAATATTTGTGTTTGGGGATTGTAAAATAGTGGGTTTCTACTGATTTTTAAAATTTAAGAATAAATATAAAAAAAATGTTCAAAATTAAAAGCATTGATTACGCAGAGTCTATCATAAAATGTTGTAAACATGTATAATAACACAGCGTAAGTTCTGAAATATTTTACAGCTATGTAATGGAGATCGTATTATACCCATTGCATTGACTTCTTGAGAAGAGTCCCTTAGACCTATATAATGCAGACATTTCTTTCTAGTGATGGTATTTTATGAATAATTGGTTCAATCTGATTTAGAATAAGACAAATAATTTCATACGAAATAATTCCCAACAGTTGAATTCGATTTGTTCCAGTAGTACCAGTAAAGAAAAGTCAAAAGTCGGGCGGGCCGACTATATGATACCCTACACTACTATCATATTTAGTGGAGCTCCGTAACAAAATAATTTATTTGAAGTAGATCATCATTCACTCTATTTGGGCTGATATAAATCATTATTTGCACAATAAACCTGAAATCGGATTAAGGATATATATGGGAGCTATATCCATACTCCCATTAGCCCATCTCAATCACATCTGGCAAAGGCATTTCCGAGCTCTATAAGATATCTGGTACCAAATATCATTGTTGTCAAATGCATATTACGAATGTAAGGGACTTAAACACCCAATCGTATGAAACATGTATATGGGAACTTTAACTATATCTGAACCGCCAAAATTCAGGTCTTTTGGAAAGATATTTGCCATTTGGTGCACAATTAACCGAAATCGGTTCAAGATATATATGGGAGCTATATATAAATCTGAAAATTTCTAAATTTGAAAAATTTAATCTCAATCGGATAATAAATGCGACCTGCATTTTGTTCACAAGAATACATGTACGGACGGACTGACATACATACATCGATTGAGAATGTGATTCTATGAAGATCCTCAAAAGTAACTATGGGTCTATCTCGATTTCTTTCACAAAGACATAATACCCTTACCACTATGTGGTATAGGGTTTAAAAACCTAAATTGAAGGTGAATGATATCGGTCTACTCCCCTTGTGATACTAAATGCAAATGGAAAAATTCGAACTATAATTGGAATTATCGAATTACAACTGAAATAATTCGAATTACAATTACAACTTAATTCAAACGGGGTAATACCTTTTAATACTATACAGGGTAAGATAAAAAACTGCAACAAAGTTAAACGCCATAGTTTTTACATTTTTTACCCTCAGCCATATGGCTAGAGGGGGTATATATCATTTCATACGGTCAAAAGTGCCTAGTAGAAATAACGGTCTCTTGGTCCTAGGTCTCTTGGTCCTAGGTCTCTTTGGACCAAATCCGTCTGTCTGTCTCTTTGGCTGGTGCGCACGATAACTCTCGAATGGAGTGTCCGGTTTGATCCAAACTTGGTACATTGTAATATTTTTGTCAAACTTCGGAGATGGAGATGGGCAAAATCGGTCCACTCCTTCTGGTACCTCTCCCACAAAATGTCAACATTTTCAAAGAAAATAACTTTCTGCACAGAAAGAGAAAGGATAAATCGACTTTGCTCCAACTTTACAAATCCTAATATTTGCCTCAGTTCTAGATATGGTGCGAAAATGGACAATATCGGTCCACTCCATCAAGTACCTCCCCCCACAAAGGGTCAAAATTTTTAATAATTACAACTCTTCTAAAGGGTGATGTAAGAGTCCGATTGTCTTCAAATTTCACACATCCCAATATTTTCATTAACCCAAGGGCTGGTGCTAAGATGGAATATATATTGGTCTACTCCTTCTGGTACCTCCCCCACAAAGGGTCAACATTTTGAATATTTATGAAGCTCATAAAACACGAAATTAACATCCGATTCCATTTAGACTTGGTATTTTCATCGAAACAAGATCTGTTATAAAGATAGTAGAGATCGGACCATTTCTTCGGGGACCTTCCCCAAATGAGATTCAAGCTGAAAGAAAGCCAAATAATCTTTCAACTCTCTTCAAATTTTACACAGTCAAATATTTTTGCTAACACAAGGTCCCTTTTAAAGATGAAATATATCTGCGAACCCCTTCTGGTGCCTCACCCACAAAGAGTCAACATTTCCAATACTTTTATTTGTCATAACTTGCGCAACAAGTCAGCGATTCTTTACAACTTGCTATATCTCAATCATAAACCTGAGATGAATACGGAATGTATGATATGGCATAAAATTGGATATAAATTTTCGATTTCCTTCAAATTTTAATCAAAAAATAATGGTATGATTTTTATCTGTATTAGATGTGGTGTGAAAATGGAATAATTCGGTCTACTATACCTGGTAGCCCACGCACATTTCAACATTTTCTAAAAATTATCAGATATCTCATATAAAGTGAAGGAAGTTACCAATATAGTCCAAACCTAGCACGTCGCAATATTTATAAGATATTTACTTAGGTCCGATACGAATTGGACAATATTGGACCACTTCTGAGGAACTCCATAGAGTTTCAACAATTAAAATAGTTATAATAAAAGTCAAAATATATTTAAATAATCGATCATTGGGTGAGTATATACATCTGTCAGCAGAAAATTTTGTAAGGATTTTGGAAGAAGAGAAGCACCGTCATCTCCGTATCTAAACAAACTAAGTTTTCGCATTTTTGTGCACAGAAAACCGCGCACACATACATTGAACTTCCGATGCACCCAAAACAAGTCACTTTTTGGTCCAAAGACATAATTGTACCATTTTTCTTCGAAAACGAGTAATGAGTGACTGTTACGTAATTGGACCATGCTGAACGAATTTCGGTTCATGAAAAAGGGAAATGATGACATTAGCCGAAGCTACACTTGATTTCCAAAAAATAAAACATGATTTGGTGGGACCTTTACAATAAAATGTTCTTCATAAAAATCCATCGACATGCTTCATAAAAATCCACCTGTCTCTTATGTTGATCTCTATTTCATTATGTCGTTCTAGTAAACGAATAATTTTGAAGGTTTCAGCAACAAATTTGCCTGTAAAAAAACTTCAAAAAAAATTGTTCCTTAAGCTATATCGGTCGATTTTGTATATGTTGAGTATTTTATATTTATTTGCTACCGAAAGTGGTTACAGTTTGAAGCTTAAGGACCTCAATGTAATATTGGTTTAGCCTTTTTAATAGCCACTCCATAACGGTGCCTACAAATTAATTTAAAGTTAATTTAAAGGTCTTAGCTGCATTTTCCAACCGAATATTGATATATAGTGTTCGTCAAACTTGAATTCGATATTTCTAATATTTTTCTTTGAAAACATCGTTTTTATGCCCCATATAACTGCTCTGAGCCCATAATACGCATTTAAAACAGGTTCATAGTTGGTATGATCCACTTCACATAAATTTCCAATAATAGGTATAATAGCTGACTACTACTATACTACTAAATATACATAGTAGCATAGGGTGTCATCCGCCCGACGTTTTACCTTTTTTAATGGTTAAGGATGCAATTACTATTGAAATTCCTAAGTCCTATGGCAAGAATTATAATTTTGTTCATATCTTAAAATAGTAATATACCAAAATACTAGTCAAAACCCACTTTATATATTAGTCTCTGGCAAAAAAAAAATAAATTCGACTATCTGCTGTCTATGTAAACCTCGTTGTAACATGTTAATTTGATCGGTAGTCTATTAAATCTAGTGATGATCAGAAAATGTTATAAAAAAACGTATATTTGTTGATTATAACACTGATAAATGGACAGGCGGAGGATATTTATAAATCGTCTTAAAAGTTGATTATATGAGGTAAACAAACTGCGTGTCTATCTCGTTTCTTTTTTATGTTACCTATCAAAATTGAAAACCTTTGGATTATCTAATGCTCCACTATGTATGAGAAAACTTAAGAAAACACATCCCAGTCCATAATTTACACCCTATTGCAAATGAGACCTTTGGTAAAATATTTTCAGGTCATTAAATTATAAATTAAGACTTTCTATCACTTCTGGTTCACAGTTCGTCGA